ATATTATATTATATTATATTATATTATATTATATTATATTATATTATATATATATATATATATATATATATATATTATTATATATATTAGAAAAGCAACGACTTCATACCGACGCATATAACACTTTTAGTTATATGCGTTTAGTTTTGGCGTGGGGAAGATTATCCATCGTAGAAAACTTTCTCTGCCGCGAAAAGGCATAATATGGGCGGCCGAACTCGAATGCAGGCAATAAAATTGAAGAATGCCAGAGCTTCGGCCGTCACGGACGATATCTACGGTCGTTTTAGCTACAGATGCGTTCTTTGGAAACGACCTGAATAAAAACATCGAATAACGAATAAAAGAAAAACGCACAAATGAAAATTTTATTCGATGCTACGAATAGGAAAAAGTATTTTCATTCATCGGATAAAGAAGGAGCAGAAAGGAAAGACAAACTGTTGAAGACATCGTTCGGGGACATTAAATAGCTTCTATATGTTGGTTTAATTTAGTCTAGAAAGGGGAACTGGCAGCTTGGATATTTTTAAATTTCATGAAATGTGAAAGAGAGCAAATAAAACTAATTGCAGGACAATAATGAGCGAGGAAGAAGCAGTTATTTAAGACATTGTTCAATGAAAGAGGGGGGTGGTGACAATCGTTGAGTCGGTATAACCTGTAGCTGTCACGAACATTATTTTGGAAGCAATTAAAACTAAGATAGAAGTTAAGAATGATTATTTTTTACAAATTAATTGCGATACCTAAAATGATTCAATAGTTTTTTTATTCCTAGTAGAAAACGTCGATGGCTCCATCTCGTATTTATCAAGCAGCTACACTCTAGACAATACATTGCAAACACTCTAGATAATACCATTTATGTAACGAGATCTGCATATCAGATACCGACCATAAAGTCACGTGACCACCCTAGCCTCTTAACCACTGAAATTGTTCGAATTAATTAATTCATTCCTTTCGCAGGCCAGCCAAATCTGCGGGCCATGAATCGGCTTTCTAGTGATATCATTTCGGCTGCACCAAGTTGGCTATGTCCACTCGCTTCACATGTCTATATATTCCGCGACGTTTCATGAAGACCATGCCTAAAACCCGCACGATCGACCACGGCGCGGGGCACCGTGGCGCTCAACTCGAGCCCTTGCCGCAGAGAGGGAGAAAGAGGGCGTTGCAAAATGTCTTCGGCTGACACGAGGGTTCGGTTCGAACAGAGCGAGAGTACAGCACGGTCTTCAGTCGCATCTCGGCATTGCACACGGGACGATCGAGTTGAGTTTCTGATGCGAGTATAGTGTGCGTTAACCCTACCCAGAAATATACGTGAAACGTCGTATATGTATTAGTGGCCATAGGCGCAGGCTCTTCGCGCGTGTGTGTGTGTGTATGCGTAACCGATACGCCGCGCCGGACGGAGTTGACACACACGCGCAGCAATGGCGTAGTATCCCTCCGAGAGAGCCTGAACGTGTCTTCCTCGGTCGAATATCCTTTTGTGTAGCTGTGTGTGCGTGGTCGCGCGGTGTGTAACAGGGACAGGGCAGAGAGGAGAGTAGCCCCGAAAGAGAAAGAGAGAGAGAGAGAGATAGATAGTCGCAGAGAAGAGCGTATGCGCGGATGCCGACGATAGAAACGCGAGGCATTACATTGGCGTAACACAACGGGGTTCGTGGCTCTCACATACACACACATACACACACACACGGGGACACACGGGGCTGCCAGAAACGGGAGAGCCCAGTGAAGCGACGTTTACGCCCAGCTTGGAGAGCCCAGCACCATTGGTCGACGTGTGTAATACACGCCGTGTCGATCCTCGGTTTTGTTCCCACGGTGGTCCGTTTCCGAGCTTTCACCGAAAGGGCTTCGCCACAGTCAGAAATCCTGACGAGAAGGCGTGAACGCGATGCACGGCTATTGCCGTCGGAAAGATTCGTGCGGAGGGATCGTCGTGACAAAGTGAAATGTGAGATCGTGCGTCCGGGGAAAGGGTTGTCGAACGGACGAGACAACAAGAATTCATAAATCGCCCTTGGGGGAGAGAGAAAAAAGAGAGATCGCAGAGAGAGTGAGAGAGAGAGAGGTAGGCATGTCAGAGAGAGGAGGCTCCTACGAGTAGATTTCAAGGAAAGCCGGTCCCCGGTTCCTAGATCCGCAACACACCGTAGTCGGCTGCAACGGTTTCGTCTCTCAACAACCCCTTTTCCACGAGATATGCGATAGATAGTACCTTGCTCGTCCGGGGCTTTCCTTGGAGTTGGATATACCTGAATTGGTCCAACCCTTGGATTTGGTGACCCTCTCGCCGCGATGAGACGTTCCCATACTCTCCTGTCCGCATCGCTCGAAGGTGAGCCCCTTTTGTAACGTGACATCGCCCAAGTGCCATTTCCGTCGCGACGTTGCGTTCGTCGAATGCTAATAGTCTCGTCGAGCGACCGTGTGACAAGCCGAGAAACCGAAAGAGGAGACAAGGGTGGTGAAGCAGCGACAGGGTGAAGCAGAACCCGAGGATCGAAAATTGCCGGTGGATCGCGAGCGCGCGTCTCCCCGGGCCCCCCCTTGACAGGACCCCCGAGACCAACGCTGGGCGAGACGGAGAACGGGTGGTCGTCATCGGGGAGAATAATCGCGAGGATCCCACGAGATGAAGGCCTAGCGTCCGAGGTGGATCGTTGGTCAGCGGGAGCGCAAGAAGGGACGGTTCGCCGGCGGAAGCCTGGATAGTAGGAGGTTTCCAACATGGCCGCCGCCTGCTACGAGAAGGAAGTGGTAGTAGGTGCCGCTATGCACGGACACGGTCATCATCATCATCACCATCACCACCATCACCATCATCATCACCATCACGGGGGGACGACGGGTCAGCAGACCGGCCAGCAGCCACCACCACCGCCGCAACAGCAGCAACAGCAGCAGCAACAGCAACAGCAACAACAACAGACTGTACCGTCACAGTCGCAGCAGCAGCAGCAGCAGCAGCAACAACAGACGGTTTTGCCAGCACTGGCGACGATCTTGGAGACTGCGACCGTCAGCGCCGGCGGCACGGGCACGACGGCGAACACGACCGCTACCGCGCCCGCCGCAGCGGTGGCGGCCGCGGCCGCGGCCGCTGCCGTCGCGGTGACCACCTACAAGGACTACAAGGATTACTCGCAGCCACTCCACGTGGACTGCAGCGTCGAGTACGAATTGCCCAGCCAGGCGAAGCCGCCGCCCGGCGGCGGCGAGCCCCTTCTCATGATACACCCCTGTTACTACCGGCGCGCCGAACGCGAGAGGAGAAGTCCGTTCGTGAATAACCTACCGCCGCCGGCGAACGCGCCCATAACCTCCTCGAGAAGGTGCAGCAGGAGGAGCGCGGCGGCCGCGGCCGCGGCTGCCGCCGCCGCCGGCGTCGTCGTCGCTACCGCGACCGTGTCTTCGACCTCGTCCGCCGTCGCTGCTGCCGCGACGGAAGTAGCCTCCTCAATCTCCACCTCGGCGGCAGTCTCCTCGACGAGTTCCGCCACGGCCGCCGTGCTATCGGCCACCGCGGCGGTCGTCGCAACCACCACCGAGACCGCCGCGAATCTCGCATCCACAACCGGTCAGATGTCTGCTGCCATGGCTGCGTCCTATCGGGCGGCGTTGAACGCTGCAGCGACGCTGTCTCAGCAGCAGCAACAGCAACAGCAACAACAACAACAGCAGCAAAGACGGCATCATCCTCAGCCGCAGCCGCAGCAGCAGCAGCAGCCGCAGCCGCCGCAGCAACACCATCATCATCGCACGCTCGCCGCCGCCCAGCATCCTCATCATGGTGGTCAGCAGCAATCGCAACAGCAGCAAGGAAGCTCGGCGACGCCGACCACTTCCGGCAACGAAATGATTTCTACCGACGAGAAAGCAGTCATATCAGGTATTTATCAACATTACTTCCGCGCGATGCGCACTCACAATCATCAGCACCAGCAGCAGCAGCAACAGCAGCAACACCAGCCGCAGCAACAGCAGCAGCAGCAGCAGCATCGAACCAACCAGCATCAACTGCATCATCAACCTCACCAAAGCGACCGAAGTTCCTCCTCGTCGTCCGTCACTCCGACGGCCACGGCGCTCTCCGGTATCTTACGGCAGAGCTACCAACAGACATACAACGCGGCGAACAGTTGCTCGAACGCGTCGAACCACTTACGAGTAGCGACCGCGTCCGCCGTCGTCGCCCACCACCCGTACAGGCGGCCGTCGGCGACGTTGCTGTCGCGGGCGGCCTCCCATTTGGGCCACCAGGTCTCCTCGTCGTCATCGGTATCCTCGTCGTCCTCCTCGTCCACGTCCATCGGTGCTTCCAGCGGCGTCTCGTCCAGCGGCGTCTCCAGCGTGTACGCGAGCACGATACACAGGCATCACGCCAGCTCGTTGCATGCCCTCCAAGCGGCCGGTTTTTACGAGACGCCCGGCTACCATGCTCTCCTACCGCAGAGTTAGGTGACCACCAGCCCGTTCCAGACCGACCCCGTTGCCAGCCTTCATTTATTCACGTAATCCGGCTGCGAAGCTCTCAGCCGCTCGCTTGCCTCTCCTTTCTCTCTCTCTCTCACACTCTTTCTATCTATCTATCTCTATCCTACCCATTGTGCGACTTATCTCTTCCACTCGTTAAAGAGCATACGGGTTGGTCTAGTACACACCACGACGGGATACATCTATCTCTGCGTACATACCTACCCAACCGCCCCTTACCCACCCATCTACTACCTACGTGTACGTACAGTATGTACGCGAACGTACATTACCGGCCGAAAGTTCGGGTCTTGAATCTATAAACTCCGGTAACTCGACGTCTCTCAACAGCTTCGTCTCGTTGACCCTTGCATCGTGTCGCGGTAAAAAAAAAAGAAACGACCCAAAGAACAACCGACTTTTCAGTCTTTTCGTACACCTGTAGTTTGAAACTCTTCGGGGTACGATCGTCGACTTTGGTCGCGATGCAATTTGCTAATCGATCGGTTTCCTAGTTGTCTCTGAATTCTGTAAACGTGTACCACATGGCGCACAGTGGGAGAAAATTCAAAAGAGTCACTGTTTTCCATATCTGTCCGAAACGACAATGTGTAAGATATGCTGAAATGTCTTAAGTAATCGTAATTAGGTAACAGAACGATCGAACAATTCATTAGGAAATTAATTTCAAGCGAGTTCCCCCCGAGCGAATATTACAAAGATTAAATTATATAGTACGTTAATTTAGTAGTATAGAAAATGATGATTGTCAGGGGTTGTATGATTGTAATTAATGTATAGAAATTTTATATTACTTATATGCAATATAACGATTCACACCCGAAATGAAATAATTAAGTTCGATTTAGTTTCCCAAACTTCGGTTAAGGTTTTTAGACAGAACGGCCCAAATTGTGTCCTGGGATTCCTATTCGGACATGTTCGTCGAATAGTATATTTTCATATTACATAAACTCTTTTGCGATATCTTCAGAATTATTTCACAAAATATGTAGCGCCACGTATGCGGAACGATCGCTACGAATTGTCAGGCAAAAAATTACCGAGAACAATCTTTCGGACGAAAGTTACTCAGTATTCGACTAACAATAAATTGTATCAACAAGAATCTGCATAAAAGTTTTTATTCGATGAAAAATAAAGATGAGACCACAATTCTTTTTTTAACGAAATCATACAGATATTTTCCAGCAAATCGATGCATTCACGTATCTTCTTTTGGCAAATCATGAAGTCAATTTTGGTCGAAAATTGATTAGCTCAGAGCTCGATGATTTTTGTCCGGAACGCCCGCATAAGCGCCTGACTGCGCGGCGGTCGGGTACAAAGACCGAGAAAGTGCCTGCAAGATCTGGTACCGAAGGTTCAGTTTCCACGTTTCTAATGATCGGTGCAAGGGTTGTCCGAACGGAAGGGGTCGAAGCTTCCAGCCTCCTCCCGTATTAGAGGAGAAACTCAAAATCGAGAAACGTTGGCAAACTTTTGGCCGGTATTGTATACGCGCGTATAGTCCGCGTGTGCTTGTGCGTGCGTGGCCGTCGCGACACACAAACGACCGTTGCGCGCGGTGTGTGTGTGTTTCGTCTGTTGTGTTGGCAGTGTGCGGGTGGCCGGACGGACGGACAGACGAGCAGAAAGCCGCAGGATAAACACACGAACCCCCTCGCGTGCACGCACGCGGTACTCACACACACACACACACACAAACACACACATATATGCGTGCAGACACGTACGATAATTCTACAGAGAGGAGACAGACAAACACATACACGTAGAGAGAGAGGGGCACACTAGCGCAGATACGCATCTCGGAGCCGCACAGGGACAGATGGAGGGAACGGGACGCGCTATGGAGAAACGGTCGTCGTCGTCCGTGTACACACACTGTACACGCATCGACCGATCTCGCCATCCACCTGCGATACTCTAGCCTCAGGTAGACAAATCCCCATTTGCTTAGCCCGCATTAACAACCGGCGCGTTTGCCGGGCGCGGTTTCCACGAAGCGCGCGCTGGTCAACGCAAACCCTCGAAGAGAACCCTAAAGACGCTTTTACGTATATAAGACTCGCCCTGTCCACCGGTCTCTCTTTTCTTTCGCCCGGCTTGCACCGGGCGCTCGACAATAGTATTTTTAGGTCGCCGGATCGATGGACGGGGGTCGTTAACGAAACATATTACCAATATAGTATTAGCCGCGTTCCCTGCCTGCGAGAATTCCATTAGCCGCGCGCATATATCGATATCATTCCGACGGACCGGCGGGGGTCAGGCTCGACGTCCCCGTTCGGGTTCGCAGCCGGCGGACGGTCCTCTCTATCGGTCCCCCCACCCCCGGGAGAAATCCGATCGACAATCATCGCGGGATCGTCAAGTGCCAAAAATTCCCACCGCTCCTCGCGCCCCGCTCGCCGCGGGGACGTTGCATCTAGAAAAGGGAGGGGTCCGAGAAGAGGACACCGTGGTTGAACAAAGAACCAGCCGGGTTGGGAGGGAGGGGAGGGGGGACAGCCTGTCGAGACAGGGAGTTTTTCTTTCTTTCTCCTCCTTCTTCCTGGTTTTCGTTTCGTATACAGGAAATGGCAGGCGATCGCGTTTTGTCCTGCTCTAACGGATCGCGTCCCCCTTGGTCTCTCGTCTTTCTCTCTCTATCTCTCTCTCTCTCTCATTCTCGCTCGCTCTCTTTTTCTCTCCTCCGGAGGATCTCTCTAGAAAGCCGGCGGGAAAGGGAGAGGCCAGGATTTCTTCTTTTTTTTTGTCCTGCGCCCTTTTCAAAGAGCGCGCTCAAGGAGAAACGGACGGGGACCGTATTTCGTTACACGGTAACGATCGATCAACGTGACCGCACGACCGCACCGGCGGTACGGCCGAGCCGTGGCGAAGCGAGACGAAGCGAGGTGAGCCATGGCGTGGCACGGCTTGGCATGGCTCGTTCTCTCTCTCTCTCTCTATCCGTGATGTGGCGTGGCTGTGGCGTGGCATGGCTACGTGCGGCTTGGCGTGGCGTGGCGTGGCATGGCGTGGCGTAGCGAGGCTGAAACGCGAAGTTAGACGAGCCCTGGGTCGGCTCAGGGGACGAGAAGGGATGGGACGGGCCGGGACGAGACGATGGGTCGGGTACGGGACGGATATCTGGGCGAGAACAGACGGGAAGGGGGCGCGGTCAAGATGGGAATCGGAGGAGACGAAACTCCGAGAGACGACGGGCCTCCCAGAGGGACCGGGGAGTGAAGAAACGGACGACGCGACGTTGACTTCTCTCTATCGCCCCCCGAAAACACTGTGACGACTATCTGAACGCACGCGGATGCACGCCGACGTCGCGGATAACCGGGGATAGAAGACGTCCAATTCGCGGGAATCGCGCCCCCCCCCCCCCCACACACACACAATCGTATCCGACGTTTTTAACAACGATCGCGCAGACGGTGCCCGAAGTAACAAAGGATCGATTAGGGTCCTGCAAGATTGCTCAACCCTTTTCGCCGGGGATGAATAAAATAATAGTTACTGCAACATCCGTGTGCGCAGTATATGTGCCCCGTACACGTATAGGAGATCTACCGTGGTCGTGACAGTGTGAGTCACGAGACCTATAGCCGGTATATCTAGCTCGGGAAACTTGACCCGACTAAAATATACAAACAGGAAGAGTGCTTTCTCGAGTTTAGGTGAAACGTTCAAAGAACCCGGCAATTGTTTTTAAATTGTTTTTAACGAATCTAAGTCGAACAGCGCTTCCGTTGACATAGCGGATATCGAATGGTTGTATGCCTTCTGTCTATTTCATAGCAATCCTTCCGTCTATTTCATAGTAATATTTCTGTGTATTTGTAGCATGTTGATCTGTATCAATGGTTAAATTCGTACGAAGTATTCTTCATGTACGTATATTCTCCCAATTGTCCTTCAGCCTGTAAACGAAAACGGAGAATTTTGGAAGATGCTCGAGCAATCGTATCTCTTCTTCCTAAATCGCGTCCACTTTTGTTTACAAGCTGTAGGACAGTTGGGACGAGTTCACTGTAATACCATATGGCAAGTTAGTATTCAATGTTCTCTATAGAGTGCGCGGGGGCTGCTGCTGCGCCGATTGTAAAATCTGATTTGTCTTTAACAGGGCTCACGGTAAATGTGTCACGGTACGATTTGAAATTCATCATAAATTGTAAAAGAGCACGATCGCGAAGCGTCTTTAACTGTTGTGTACATACGGATTTTGTTGCTATTATTTTGTTCGTCGGATCCTTTTTATGCATTCGCGAGAAAAATTTGCGGACGACGATTTTCTGAAATTCTAGGAATATTTTCCACGGAAAAGCTAGATGGCGTGTCGAAAACCTCGGCAATTTTATATACTTTATGCATGAAACCGCTAGAATAAGATTCATAATGTGACGACACTCGTTCGTAGACAGTTGAAAGCGAGACTACGTTCGATACACACGACAAATTTCTACGACTAAATATTTTATATTATTATTATAATATTTTATTGTAGAAAGATGACGAAACACGAGAAAACTATTCGGAGAGAGGAATACTACAGATCGAATCTAAAACGGCAGACGCGTTTGAGAAATTTTCAAATACAATTATATCATATTCGACTGGCAACAATTGTTGCACACGGACGGACAATGTTTACGTAGCATTCGAAGCAGACCGTGTTTATTTTGCATATGAATCCGCAGGCTACTCGCGCAGTCCATCCGGACGAAACGAGTCGGCAAATGTGAACGAAACGACTGCAGGATATTCGCCTAATTAACGTTGACGACTGCAGCCATCGGCTGTTAAATGTGGAGCTCGTTTCGGCGTCCTATGTAGCCGACGATATACGCTCAATATTTCTCGAACGCGCACCATCATGGTCGTCGTGCATTTGTTAATACCGACTGAGGACTCGTCTTGTCGGATGGGATACGGAGTTGAATTCTTTCAAATACGGCAAAGCAAAACGGACGTTTGTTTAGGATTCCTGCGAGATCGTTCAACTCTTTCGCCGGTTATCGTATCGCGTAGGATTCTATCGAAAGTTCTTTTGAAACAGACTTCCCTCTCGAAGAGCATGTTGCTCATCCTGGCGCATGTGTCGGTGCTTATAGGACTCTGTGACTAATGCATCCGCGTGCACACTCTGCCGCATCGCGGCTCTCTCGCCCACTAAATACAGTCGCATACAAAAATTCTCATCCGATCGTCGATTTCGTTGAAAACACTGTCTTCGGCCTCGATGTTGGTTCACTCATTGGCGTACAAATAATCGATTTAGACGTCTGCTTCCTATTTTTATTAGAAATTAGCACAGCCGACGGTAACCTCGTCATTTCACAATGAATTTAAAGTAATATACGTTGTTCTTAGAAATCACACTGTATTTTATAACGCTAAATCTACCGTGTCGATCAAAATAACCGGTTCCATATTTTTTATTTCGATATTGGTGAAAGTATAGGGATTCTATCGTAGAAAATAGCCGAGTAAATTCGTCGGTTCAAGCATACGTTGCAGTTGAAACAACAGGACGTCTAAATAAACGTAATTATTATAAAAGAAAATAGTAGTGTCAATTCGAAAGATCGGAACTGGACTGCGAGGCAATTAATGCTTGCACAGCAGACTGAAAAGTTTTAGAAACAAAGTTCGATCTACAGAAAAGGAACGGATTCGGTGAACGTTATCGGAGCTTTCGGAGCTTCGTTAACAATGAAATTAATTTTTCATAGAGTGTTCTTCCGCACGGTATTTGTCATCGGGTTATCGTTTGGAATCACAGAAAAATTGCGCGGAGAAAAAAAATTTGTCGAGTGACACTGGTCACCGTGACATCTCCGTCTCTCTCTCTTGTTTTCTCGTTCTCTTCTTTTCGCGTTCCATTCCGACGAACAAAGTCACGGAAGACCACTTACGCGCATACGTATTGCTTCCAGTCGGAGAGCTAGGGGCTCGGCGAGCATCGAACACCGATAATTTTGTTCTGTGAATCCGCCGCGACCGACTTCGTTCGTTTTCCTGCGCTTTTGCGAATTCCGCTAGATCCGATTCCGCGAAAGCCGGCTCGAAGCCCGTGACGTGTTATCGTCTGCTCGCGATACAAAACGCCCGGCCTCTGGCAAAACGCTCGCGAAAATATCGA